AGTACCTGTAGTTTGGGGGATATTCCTGTGGGTGTTGCTCATTGTCCCAAAGGACATAAAATGTCAGAGAAACAGCAGCAGCAATGTAGTAATGGACCAATTTTCTGAAGCTTGACAAAACACATTATATCAATGAAAGATGTATTTGATGAGATCATATAAGAAAATAAAAATGATTCACATTTTTCAGTACACGTCACTTACAGCTAGGTTTCTTTTTGTAAAATATCAATGCTGAATGGTTTAATCTTATGTGATTCCAGTGTGTTGTTAACAATTAAGGAAATAAATGAAAATAATAAAATTTCAACTATACATTTAAACAGAAAATACCATGTCCAAGGGGAATTCTAAGCCCCACAGCCAGTTTTTGACCCTGAATTTGGCAAGTGCAATCAATTCATGATGGACATTTAAAAAGAAAAGTTAAATTTGTAATGGGAAAACACTGTGGTTTGCACGCAGCGTTTCTCAAAACATATCGTGCAATCTAGTTATTGTAAATGAAGTGTCTACAACAATGGAAATGTGATTGTGGAAAAGAATATAGAGGGTGCTTTTCAGTAACTGCCTCCACCATTTCTGTTCTATTGAGGTATAACTTGGCATATATTAACATTATTCATATATTTACAGCTACAGTTACTGTGCACACACAGATATACCAATAAAAACATTTTTAGGATTTTATCCATGTATAACCCATCCTACTCTCCCTAAAGCAGTGTTTCTCAACCTGAGGGCAGTAGTCAAGATATCCTGCATATGAAATATGCACATTATGATTCATAACAGTAGCAAAATTACATTTCTGAAGTAGCAATGAAATAATTTTATGGTTGGGGCTTATGCAACATGAGAAACTGTATTAAAAGGTTGCAGCATTAGGAAGGTTAATAACCACTGCTACAGGCATTAAACATCTTACCTCCAGCATCAAGGATTATGTTTTTCTATTTTCCAGGTTTTTCACACAGATTATTCAACACATATTCTGAAGCTCTAGCTTCTTTTGCTCCATACCACAACTATTATGTCTATTTGTTTCTGTGTATATCAACGATTAGGGTAGTCTTCTGGAAGCATGTTAATAATATTAAACATCTGATTATTGGTGGGCATTATTTGTAATGCAGTTATTTAAAATCATGAATATGTCCTTTTTTGTTGAAATGGATATTCATGTGTAAGCCAGCAAGGTCATGTGGAATCAAAAACAACATATATAAATCATTTCTCTACTTTCACTATGTAGGTCTCAGGGATCAAACATAGGTTTTAAGGTTTGGTGGCAGTCCCCTTTACCCTCTGAGACATCTTGATGGCCTCTTGTTTGTTTTGTGCTTTACATTTTTCTTACAGTCATATGATTCCATGTTAATTAGTACTTACATGTATGTGTTTATGTTTGCATGTGTATATGACAAATAACTCAGAGGATCAATATCCTTTTCTCCATATGGCCAACACTATTGATGGGACATCTTTGCTTTTATTACAGTTCCATTCTTGCTTAACTGGTGGTGGCTTTACCCTGATTCTGGAAACCACATATTTGTCATGTATTTGTTTTAAACACCAATAGTCTTATTACACTATTAAATTACTCTTGTCTAGTACTAAAAGCAGAAACTCTCTGAAGCTTAGGCAGGTCTTGGACTTGTACCTGTGTCAGTTTCTGAGCTGGAGTAACAGACTTCAATAGTAAACCTAACTCAACAGCACAGATGCTAAGTCTCAAATGTTCCATGTAGTCTTCAGATCTCTTTTATTTGAATATCCTTCAAATTTCTTCTTTTATATAGTTGATTTCCAATAAGTTTTAGAATAAACTTGTGATTTCCAAATGAAAAACCCCACTAGAATTTTAACATAGCTTCTAATGGGTCTTTGAGTCATTTTGAGGAAGTGTCCCATCTCATAGTGTTTGAGCCTTCCATTAACCAACACAGTATATATCCTTATAAGCAGTTGGAATATTTAAAGTATTTTCTGTGATGGACTTTAAATATTCAGTATTAAGATTTTGACTCCTAGAATGAAATCTAGTTCCATATGTATGATATAGGTTGCTAATATTGGATTGCCATTTTAAAATGTTCAGTAGTTAGCACTTTACTGCTTTAAAATAAGAAATAGATTAGTTTGTGTCATGATATCCAATTATCATCTTTCTCTGATACATTTATTAATTCTAGTGGAATGGTTTTTAAATCGCCTTTAATTTTCTATGTTAAAAATACCATGTGCAAGCAGGGGCAATGTTATTTCTGGTGGTAAATCTATATAATCTTAATTTATTTCTTTCACATATAGTACAGAACTGAATAAAAGTGATAGCATTAGGAAAACTTGGTATTTTTTCCTATCTCAAAAGAAAGCATTGAGTTATTTGTTCATAGGATATTAATAGTTATGTTTCAGCATATAGACTTTATCATATAAAAATAACTATTTTTAGTTCAATGTGGCTTGGTTATTATTTTGTCTTATATGTGTCTTCATTCCTTTGACTTTTCAAACAGCTTTTAGATAAATGTATAGTCCATACAATTTTCCCACTTAGAATTCAGGTGGATCTTAATGTTATAAGATATGCATAATCATTGTAACAATCAACTTTAGATTCAGATTGGAAATCTTAGACTTTTAAGTTAACCCCCCCATTCCCTCTACCCACCCTTTAGCAACCACCAGTCCATTTCCTCTCTACCTGAGTTCCCAGCTCTGGGTTTTAGTATGAATTGAATAATAAGAGTAAGCTTTTCAATTGGCTGCTTAATGTTAACAGGTTTCATCATTGCAACTTGGCTCAGTATTCCAATTCTTCTTGATTGCTTAATAATATTTCATTTTATATAAATCTTACATTAAACTTATCCATTCATTTCTTGATGGACATTTGGGTTGTTTCCACCTTTTGGTGATTATAAATAGAGCTGTTATAAATAGTCATATTTAATTATTTTGTGTGTGGACATATGCTTAAAGTTCTTTTGAGAAATGCCTAGTGGTAGAATAACTGCATCATATGGTAATTTTACATTTAATTATTTAAGGATCTGACAGATTGTTTGAAAGCAGCTGTTCATGTTATTGCTTGCTTCTCTGTCTCTCCTCTCTCTAACAAACATACACATCAAATTTTCTACAAAATACTGCTCCTTATAAACTTTCTACAATAAAAGCTGCTGCTTCACTCTATTAAGAGTGTGGTTTGGCAGAAATTTATAAATAGATTCTAAAATTTCTGCTGTTTTTATTAATGAACAAATTTGAATGAATAGACATAAGCCACAAATCCCAGGAGGCATATTACTCTCAGGTATGATATTACACACACATTTGTCATATTTTTCTATACACCTCACTCCCATTTTGTACTTCATTAGTTGGTAATTTTCTTTGACCTTGAAGAATTTTTATACTATTCTTTTCAGTACAAATTTGCTGGAAAATTTTTGTTATTTGTACAAGCTATTTAAAAACTTAATTTTTGAGAGATGTGGGAGCCCTCAGTGACTCTATTTCCATTTTTCCTTAAGGTCAGAGAGTTCAAACTTGTTCTTGCTCCTCAAGGTCAAATAACAAGATGTTGGGCCAAAAGTTTGGCTACTCGATGTCTTGCTCCTCAAGGCCAAATAACAAGATATTTGACTTAGGACATGGTTATTAGATATTATGAGTATTAAGGAGGTAATTATGCTTGTTTGTTCCTTGTATCATGGTAAGGAAGATTTTTGCCCTCCCATTTTGCTTGGGGTATATAAGGGCTATGAAATAATCTTGGGGCTTCTGCAGTATTCACTGAGAGCTCTCCCAATTCTATCTTCTATCTTTTGTCTCTTTTCTTTCTCAGTCTTCACTCCCATTTTCAGATACATTTGAGCAGGTCCTGACAGAGAGATTGGTTTTTCTCATTTTGGAATTCTAGATTAAGCTTTTCACAGTTTATTTCTTTATCATCAGGATCCCACTTTCCTTTGCAATCACCTATGTCTCCTTTGGGACTCTCTTTTAAAGGTCCCCTTAAGTTAATTTTAACCTGCTTTTGATAGTTTGTATGTGGTCACTGGATTTATGCTTCTTGTTTTTCTTTGAGCCCCTTAGAGCAATACTTTCTAATCTTGTGTCCGATTTTCCTTAGCTAATCTCCTTCCTGCTGACTCCTTCATCCTTTCTCACTTTGACCTCATATTATTAATGCCACATTATTTTACAGTAAATGAATGCTTGATATTACAATCATATAAGTAAATTTAGCATTGTGATTTACAGTAAGAATTATATTTGCCTTTAATCTCATTTTTCTTGGCACACAGCTCCTAAATGCTTTTGAGTCCACAAAGTGATTTGTCTTATTTTATGTATGTATCTAAAATGACTGATTTGGGGAGATAATTAACAATCTTTGATATGATTGGTTGCTATGGGAATGAACCATGTGATAAATACTTATAGATTCCAGCCTCACCTCAATCTCTAAGGAGAGGAGAGTGAATAAGGTTATGTTGATCACGGGGCCAAAGACTTTGTCAGTCGTGCCTATATTCAGAAGGCTCCATAAAAAAACACAAGACAGTGTGTGGGAAGTTTATCAGTTGCTGACTGCGTACATACACTGTAGGGCAATGCCACTCGGCTCCCCAGAGACAGAAACTCCTACTTAGGACTGCCTACAGATGCATGTTTATGAATACTACTTCACCTGGATGTTCATTTGTATTTTTTAACTGTTCTTAATACTAAATCATCAGTAATAAATAGAACAGTTATCTGAATTCTGTTAGCCACTCAAATATAGCTCTAAAATTCAGGAGAAGCTTGGGGACTCACACTTACCAGGCAGTTGGCCAAAATCTCTGGAGACATTTAACACTTGAACTGGGAATAATTCTGTGTGACTAAGCCCTGAATAATGTAGGATCTTGATGGGGAATTCCTTCTTTATGTATATTTCTCCTATTGGTTGATGAATAAAACATTGATTGGCCAGTAGCCAGCCAGGAAGTAAAGGCAGGGCTACCAGACCAGACAAGGAGAATGTTGGGGAAAGGACACAGAGAGGCTTCGAGGGAGATGCCATGTAGCTGTTGAAACAGTAACATGCCAGATACAGGTAAACAGCAGTCTTGTGTCACTACATAGTTTAATAGAAATGGGTTAATAATTAAGAGAGAGCTAGCCACTAAGAAGCCTAAGGCATTGGTCAAACAGTTTATTATTATTATAAGTCTCTGTGTGTTTATTTGGGGTTAAATTGCTGTGGGACCAGGACGGAAAGAAGCTCCGTCTACAGGATCTGACACAGGAGCATAAGTTATGGGTGGCTGTGAGACACTATGTGGGTTCTAGGAACTAAACCTGAGTCCTCTGTAAGAGCCGCAGCACTCTAAACCACTGACCCAATTCTCTAGCCCCATTCAGTTTACATTTGTAATACATATTACTCTTCTCCAAGTCAAAATCCAGTTATACATATATTTGTAAATTAAACTGGCTATTTAGATGCTTCCTTTCTTTTTTAGAAAAATACACACTTATATATGTAGATGAGACAGAAAATTTTCTTCTTCACTCTTATGACATGCAGCCATGTAAACAATTATTTCTCAGTTCAATTTTTCATTCTCTCAGGGTTCTAATAATTTAATATTTTATAATCTATAAATTATCTCTCTTTTGGGATTATCTAATGAGGAGACTTTATCCTGAAAAATCACCCTTTAAAAATTTAGTAGGCTAGATCCCATTTGCTTCATTTGTTCCATTTTAATCACTAAACATCCATATTGACATGAACCAAATTTTGCTTGGCCAGACCCTAAGCAGATAACAAATGAGCTATGTTTCCAATATAAATCCAAAGCCTCCACTTGTAGTAGATACTGAAGACACTTAAAGGTTCCAATATGCCATGTGAAAGGGTTTCTATTTTTTCACAATGTAATATATACACTATTGCAATAACACCAAATATATTTGTTTCAAAAGAAAATAAATGGAATTGTCTCATTTTCTTATATACTGCCTCTATTCATTGGTAGTTTGAGCTCTAACAGTATGCATAATTTGATGCAAATAAGTACACTTGGCAATTTAAATAATACTACTTAAATTATTCTAGATTTACTCTACATTTAAAATACATATAAAATTTAAGGTATCAGAGCTATCTGAAAATGTTTCTACAATATAAATGAGTTTAGTTTAGTGAGAGTCTTATTGGCAGAGCAATAATTCATATCCCAGTTTTTCTTACATGTAGCACTTCAAAATATTTTGCTTTGTAATAACCAATTTTCTCTATTGCCATCACAGGTGCAGAAATAGTCTTATGAATAGCTATTAAACAATAGATATTATGAAGAAGTAAAATAACATATTTGTATGTTATAAGGTGATTTCCATTCTTAATACAATAGCAACCTCTAGTTAAAGGCAAAGAAATTTCAAGTTTTGTGTCTATACATAATAGAATCAAAATAAGAATACATATTTTAAACATTAACTTTTAGAGAGTTGATGGTTAAAATAGAGGTGTTAAGTTTTTAATTTTTAAAGATGATTTTATTTTTTATTCTATATGCATTGATGTTTTGATTGCATGTGTGTCTTTGTGAGGTTGTCAGATGCCCTAGAACTGAAGTTTGAGACAGATGTGAACTGCCATCTGGGTGCTCTGCACTGAACCCGAGTTCCCTGGAAGAACAGCCAGTGCTCTTAACTGTTGAGCCATTTCTTCATGCCTAGATATTAGATTTCAAAATCAGCTTCATATATGAATAGAAAATGAAATTTCAATTTAGTTATACATATTGTGTCTTTAGAAGCTCACTAGGTGGAATAATTTGATGAGTAGTCATCTTCATAAATGGAAGAATCATGCTGATACAAGACACTCCTATGGTTTTAATCACACATTATTTTGGAATAGATTGTTTTAAAATTATTATTTTTTCTCTGAAGATGTCTATGATTTATTTTCTATAAATTCTCTTACACATACTTAAAATATGGTATTATCTCCTAAAGAATCTATTTGTGAAATATATGTGAAAAATACATATGAATGCATGTATTAACATTCATTATTTAAAATATTTTGTGATTTATGTATGAAGAAATGTTTAACAGGGGAAACTGTTGAGTTTCTGGGGGTCATAGCACATGCCTGCAACACCAGCATGCAGGAAAGTAGAGGCAAGAGAATGAGGAATTCAAGATCTTCTTCAGCTGTACAGTGAGTTGGAGGCCAGCCTAGACTGTAGGAAACTGTCTCAAACAAAATAAACAAGCAAACCTAGTGCTTTTCTACCTAGCTCTCATTGTCTATGAACCTAGAACCATTAATATAAAAGCCTTAATCATACAAGGTTAGTTATTAAACATGATTCTCCTAGACTTGCTGAATCTAAAGCATTTATTTTTATATATGTGACCAAGAAGGGAAGGCAAAGAGAATCATCCAACTCCCTTTGACTCTTGCTTTAATGTCATCGAATGAAACACACTGATACAGAGCTGTACTATGATAAGGTATCTTCAACTCCTGAATTTAAGATAATAGGATGCACATAATATTCTAGATACTATTTACAAAGAACATGTAAAATGTTAATATATTTTTCTTTTGACTCTTGGACCCCAAGATATTTTATGTTGTTTGTGGATATTGAGAAGGGTAATGTTTCTCTGATTTCTTTCTCATTGCATTTATCATCTGTATATAGTAGGGCTACTGATTTCTTTTAGTTAATTTTGTAACCTGTTACTTTGTTGAAGGTGTTTATCAGCTATAGGAGTTCCCTGGTAGAGTTTTTCAGGTCACTTATGTAGACTATTATATCATCTGCAAATAGTGAAACTCTGACTTCTTCCTTTCCAATAAATACACCCTGTATCTCCTTTTCTTGTCTTATTGCTCTAGCTAGAACTTCAAGGACAATATTGAAGAGATATGGAGAGAGTGAACAGCCTTGTCTTGTTCCTGATTTTAGGGGAATCACTTTGAGTTTCTCCATTTAGTTTGATGTTGGCTGTTGGTTTGCTGTATATTGCTTTTATCATGTTTAGGTATGTTCCTGTTATTCCTGTTCTCTCCAAGATCTTCATCATGAAGGGATGTTGGATTTGTCAAAAGCTTTTTCAGCATCTAGTGAGATGATCATGTGGTCTTTCTTTCTCAGTCTGTTTATATGGTGGATTACATTGATGGATTTTTGTATGTTATATCATCCTTGCATCCATGAAATGAAGCCTACTTGATCATGGTAGATGATATCTCTGGTGTGTTCTTATATTTGATTGTTCTTGTATGTTTGTATCGATGTTCATGAGGGATATTGGTCTGTAGTTTATTAAGAAATAAAAGGTGTTTGGGACAAATATATCATTTATTAGAAAAACACCAGCCAAAAACAAGCCAGAGCGTGCCAGGAGCAGCAAGGCAGGAAGGCCAGAGAGCAGGGGCTCCCATGTGCTTTGCTGTCCCTTAAGAACCTATCCCTGGTCATCCTGACCTCATCTTGACCACGCCCTGACAGGCGTGGTCAGGCACACCTGTAGCCAGCCCTTAGGAGGCGTGGTTATGATGTCTCCCTACAATTCCCCTTTTAGTCTAAAAGAGGATTAAAACTTAACAGTGCAAATTAACTGTAATCATAAAGGTGAAATACAAGAAGATACAATAATTTGCTATTGCATATCCTAACTATGTCTATTTTAGCTAAACCCTTTTTTAGTTATCTTTGTGTGGCTTGGGTATCAAAGTAATTGTAGCTTCGTAAAAAATAGTTTGGCAATGTCCCTTCTGCTTCTATTGTGTAGAACAATTTGAGGAGTAGTGGTAGTAGCTCTTGTTTGAATTTCTGGTAGAATTCTGCAGTGAAGCCATCTGGCCCTGGGCTTTGTTGTTGTTGTTGTTGTTGTTGTTGTTGTTGTTGTTTTGGTTGAAAGGCTTTTGATGGCTGCTTTTATTTCATTAGGGGTTATAGGTTGATTTAAACCGATTGTCTGTTTTTGGTTTAATTTTGGTAAGTGATATTAATACAAAAAAAATGTTCATTTCCTTTAGATTTTTGAATTTTGTGGAGTACAGGTTTCCAAAGTATGACCTGATGATTCTCTGAATTTCCTAATTATCTGTTGTTATATGACCCTTTTCATTTCTCATTTTGTTAATTAGCATTCTCTCTCTCTCTCTCTCTCTCTCTCTCTCCCTCTCTCTCCCTTTTGGTTAGTTTGGATTGAGGTTTTTTTTTTGTTTCATTCAACTCTTTGTTTCATTGATTCTTTGTAATGTTTTTCTAGTTTCTACTTTATTGATTTCAGCCCTCAGTTTGATTACTTCCGGGTGTCTCCTCCTCCGTGGTGAGTTTGCTTCATTTTGTTTTAGAGCTTTCAGTTGTTCTGTCAATTGTCTGGTGTGTCTCTTCTCCAGTTTCTTCATGTAGGCACTTAGTGCTATGAACTTTCCTCTTAGCACTGCTTTCAAAGTGTCCCATAAGTTTGGGTATGTTGTGTCTACATTCTTATTAAATTCTAGGAAGTCTTTAATTTCTTTTTTTATTTCTTCCTCGATCCAGGAGTGGTGCAATTGAGTGTTATTCAATTCCATGAGTTTGTAGGTTTTCTGCAATTTGTATTGCTGTTGAATTCTAACTTTAAAGTGTGGTGGTCTGATAAGATACAAGGGGTTATTTCATTTTTTTGTATCTGCAGAGGTTTGCTATGTTGCCAAGTATGTGGTCAATTTTAGAGAAGGTCCATGTGGCACTGAGAGAAGGTATGTTCTTTTGTGTTTGGATGGAATGATCTTTAGATGTCTGTAAATCCCAATTGGGTCATAAGTTCTGCTAGATCCTTTGTTTCTTTGTTAAGTCTCTGTCTGGTGGTCCATTCTAGTGGTGAAAGAGGGGTGTTGAAGTCTCCTACTATAAGTGTGTGTGGTTTTATGTGTGGTTTGAGATTTAGTAATATTTCTTTTACAAATGTGAGTGTCTTCATATTTGTGGCATAGATGTTCAGGATTGAGACTTTATCTTGATGGACTTTTCCTGTGATAAGTATAAAATGCCCTTCATCTCTTTTGATTGATTTTAGTTTGAAGTCTAATTT